GAGAAAAGGTAAGGGTCTCATCGCTGAGACTCATGACTGGATTGATGAGCCAACCTCTTCCTCCAGTGATGAGGACATGGCACATCTGTGTCTTATGGCCAACATCCAGGAGATAGAAGACTCTGTCAAGAACTCATCCTCTGCTGCTGCTGCTGCTGCTGCTGATCTACCTTCTACCTCAAAGGATGCCAAAGATCTGGTCAAACTAAAGAAGGTAAACATATGAATCAACATAATTTAAACTTGAAACAAAAGCATAATTTGAAACAACACTACTACTACTACTACTAATAATAATAATGGGAGCGCTCGACTCGTTTCCCAGTGAAGCACAGATCTGTCTTCAACTGGTTCCAATGAAGTGAACCGTTGTCGAGCCTTGCACACATGACTTGTTGCACCTGAATCGATCCACCAAACAACGTCATCATCATGCACGTATAATGATTCAGATATTAGTGGTACACAATGTAGATTTGAATTAAAACCGGAGTCAAGAAACTGACCGCCGTGTGTTTTGATCCTTGTATATTTGTCCACCACCATTATTGCTTGGTCGATTATTTTTCTTGACAACACGACAATCGTGTTTAAGAAGGACAATCATTTCACAAGTCCAACAAGTTAACTTAACCTTCTTGTTAGGTCCTTTCACGGCCTCATTGAACTTTTGTTTTCCCTTGAATGGATTAGATTTTCCCTTTTCCACCACATTGACCAAAGGAATAGAAACTGCCTTTTCTTTTGGCTTCTCAGTCTCTTGCGCTCTTAAAGATTCCTCTATATGCAAGTGACTCCAGAATTGTAGAAGGAACAACTATTCTTTCTTATGTTTTCAATGTGTGTTTGAATTCTTTCCAAGAGGCAGACAATTTATCAATATTGCTCGACACTGAAACGGACTCGTCCATTTTCATGTCGTATTGAGAAACTTGCCTTAGTATGTGCAGGAGCTCATTATATTGCTCCATCGCAGACATTGAGTCCTCCATTTTGTAATTATTACATTTACTAACGAGGAACTTCTTACTAAAAACATCATCGCCCATGTATTTGGACCCAAGAGAGTCCCATAGCTCTTTAGAGGACTCGGCATTTTGATAAATGTCAAAGAGGGAATCATACATATCGTTTAAGATGTGCTCACGACAAATGTAGTCATCGTCTTTTTCCATTTGCCCTGACGTCGTGCCATCTCCAACGTCTCATCCTCCATCACCTCCGGCATCAAAGTACTTAGCATGTACACGACTTTCAAGATGGTCAATAGGATGTACATCTTCTTTTGCCATCTTCGAAAATGGATGACCTCGAACTTCTCCAGTTTAGTGAACTTTGTCGTCATGTATCCCACGGTTTGATCACTCGACATTTTCTCAAAGAACGAAAATGTCACTTAAGATTGTTAGAAGAAATGTTGAAAATCGAGAGAAAAGAAGAGTGTATAGAACACAGATAAAAACTTGAGATCGCATGAGAGCTCACTTTCCTTAAGCGATATTTCCACCCCATTCTACCCGGATAATGGATATCATGAAATTTTTTGGAGGATAATCTCAAATTCTCAGTATCGATTTTGGTAGAAATCGATCTTATTTAAACACAAGAGAATCATAACCAATCTCATATTAATATCGATAATAATTTCCCATTAAATGAGATTGATTGTTGGACATAGATAGTGGCAGCTACAAAATAATTCATCAGTTACAAATTGATAAAAATACACAGTCTATGTCATTTACAAGTGTAAAAATGCACGGTCCATGCTAAAACAAACCGAAACGCACAACCCATGCCATTTCCAAGAGAAAAAAACACACAGCCCGTGCAAAACTTTATGTCGATAAATGCACAGCCCGTGCCATTTCCAAGAGTAAAAACGCACCGGTCGCGCTCAACATTCTATTTCCAAGCACAGCCCGTGCTTTTTTTATGGACAAAGTGGCACGTCTCACGCACTACAAAATGACGTTTTCCACTTAGTAACCCACCAAATATGACCGTCCAATGATCCCGGGTTCTAGTTAGCTTATATGAATGTGTACTCCACACCTCCTACCTCGTGTCATAGCTTAACTATCAACCCCATTATTATCATGTGAATCCAGTTACCTAAAATGAACCAATTATTTCACTAAAATCACCAACAAATATTGCCATCCATACATACATACATACATACATACATACATACATACATACACACACATATATATATATATATATATATATAAATAATAGTTACAACATTATAATTTGTAGCCCAAAAAATATGTACATATTTTAGTCCAATTTAGAGGTCAAAAGATAAATACATATATATTAGTCCAATTTAGAGCTCAAAGCCTAAACTTAATCCTACGAGGTCAACCAAACTCAATCCAATTTTGCCCCCTTATTCCCTTAACACGACTACAAGAGTGTATTTCCACAATTCGATTTGGACGCCGCTATTAGATGACAGATCCTGCTTGTTGGACGTTGCTACTGCTTAGTGATCGTTATTGTTCATGACGACAAGTATGCTTGTTTTCTGCAAGTTATTGCTTCTGGACGACAAATTATGCTCATTTAACACTCGTTTTACTTGAATTCTAAAGAATCTCATAGAAGAAAATTATTCGAATCATTTTTGAAACAACAATAAATAAATGTGCCGGAGAACATGAACGACGTTGTTAGACAATTTGTTGATGAATTTAATCAATCCAAAGACTCTCCATCATTTGAAGTAGTACTTTGGTCGTAAAAATCAACTAATGCCTACCACGATAGCCAAACGACAATTGGGAACAATTTTCTTCGTATTGAATAAAAGAACGAACGGATACAGCGAACCTACTTACATCGTTCAACTTCTGCTACAGAAATCTAACGGTACAATTTACCACATTGTGATAGTTATGATTTGGTGGGGGAACGCGGTGGAGCAAGAGCGGCAAGGCATGGCAACACAGCGGCTTCATTCCTCTTTTACGCTAAGATAATGTTTCTTCCTCAGCCCAACTTCCATGACCAAAGTTAGCAGAGCCTCACACACCTGAGAAGCATCTGGTTCCAAAGGGTCATCGTTTGTCGAAGAGTAAACCATCCACGCATGGTCCAGTTTGCGCTTGGGCCGCACCACGACCGAGCCGGGGACCTCTGCATCGCGGCACGTCACGAGCCCGTCGTTCTTCTCACCATATCTGGTTTGTAGCAGCTGAGCACAGGCAGCCAATGTGGCTCCAAGAGGAACTACAACGGGCAGGACGGTGGTTGTTGTGTTTGTGGATAACGGAGCAAATGTTGGAAGCTCGGCTTGGGCAACACGAGAAAGCGTTGCCAAAACGGTCGGAGAGATGTTGGCTTCGGTATGAAAGGAGACGACTGGGAGTTCCTTCGGCAGGTGGTGTTTTCTCAAGAATTCCTTCCGCTTCTCGTAGGTCAGATCTTCGAGTGATTGCAAGTCGCCCTACAAAACAAGGGCATCATGTCTTAGAACACAAATTTAAACAAAACCGAACTAAACAATCCCAGCATATCCCACGTGGAGGTGGGGTCTGGGAACGGTGAGATGGAGTAGAGCGGATGTTTCCTTAGAACACAAATTTGTTAATAGTAAAACCATGTTCATGTAAATCTCATTATAGCTGATGATACCTTCAAAAATTGATAAATTTCTTGACATCCACCAAAAGGACTATTTTTGGACAATGATCTACAATTGAAGCAATGAACACATGAAGAGCACACAAAAAAAAGCCTAAGCCCGAAGCCCGGGCCAGGGACATCCCGAAGAGCCTGGGCCTTGTAACCCGGCTTTAAAGCCGGATCAGGCCAATCTTTTTAAGGCCTGGTTAAAACCCAGCATAAAAAAGTCTGGTTATGCCCGAAAAAGACGGCTAATCCCGAAAAATCCTGGTAAACCAGCCTATAAAAACCTGATCAGGCCCTCTTTCAGCCCCAAAGCCTGTTTCGTACCGGCCCTGGCCTGAAAAGGCATGGGCTTCTTTTTTGCTTACTGAAAAATTGGCCCATGTTTGAGCGTTTATCAATTGTCTAAAATACCCTTCAAAAATCAAAAGATAGTTGAATCTTGTCAACACAATTTAAGATCATCAAATTTTTGTAGCAAGACCAAATGGGAAATCGTAACTTAAAAACTTGAAATGTTGAAATTTTCATTAAACCAAAGAAATACACAAACAGAATACGTGTATAGAAACCACCGTGTTACCACAAAACTCGCAATATTTTCTTTTTGGGAACAGTGGGTATATGGTTATGAGGAAAGATGATCAACCTATAACTTCCCACATGCTTTTTTGCATAAAGAATGGTAGTTAATTTCATGGAAAATTTGATGGGTTCAAATAGAGAAAGAAAATTCAATACCAAAAAACCAACCAAAAACCGACAAAGTAAATCCCACCGGAAAGTAGGGTCTAGTGGATGAGATATATGCACACCCGCCCCTCTACTCCAAGAAGTAGAGGGACTGTTTTCGTGAAGAAACAAAAGATGGTCACTAGAAAAAGAACACCACATATGAAAGTGAAATAGAGAAAGAACATACCTTTATCACTTTACATATCAAGATTTCCATAAGTTTTCGAACATTGAAGTAGTCTCCTATCTGCCCTTCTCTCATAATATCCGAAGCTATAGGGCTACCACCATATGGGCTCTGTGCCAAAGCCAGACCGGCGACTTTATCTCTCAAATCCGGCCAATACATTGACAAAGCGGCAGCTGCATCTATTCCTCCTTTACTGTGGCCAAGAAGTAAAACGCGCTTATTGGAACCCCAATACATTTCCTCGACGTACTCTTTTATTTCTCTGGCATTCTTTTCAACTGATGCCTAAAATGTCTGATGTTAATGATAGAACATCAAAACAACCAAAGTTGCAGAGAAAATCGGATAATGGTTACTCTCTCCGTTCCAAAATAAATGTCCACTAATGAAAAAGGCAAATAGTTTTAGAAATGTGTAATTAACACCCCTTCTAAATAACTAAATGACAATTGTAAACATTAATAATGAGGGAGTATGATTTCTCCATCTCAAAATTAAGGGTATAATTGAAAAGTAGACACTTACTTTTGAAAGTTGACACTTATTTTGGGACAAACTAGAATAAAATTGTGTGACGCACACCTCACTATGAATCTTTGCAATGTGACATGTCAATCCCATTTTAGAGAAAGTTGCCTTCGTCGCAGTAAAATAGAGTGGTCCATGGTTGCTAAAAAGACCTGCATGCCAACCATTGCCAAATCATGATAAACCAAACCAAACCAAACCAAATCAAACGAGCCCGGTGCCTCCCACCGGCAGTGGGGCCTAAGGAGGTTAAAATGTACGTAGACCTGACCTCTACCAAAAAGAGTAGAGCGGCTGTTTTATGTGAAAACCTCCGGCTTGTGAAAAGTGTGAGAAGGAATGAAAAGCAGGCAAACTTAAATTTTGCAAAGTTGGATATAAGTGTGCAAATCATGATACGTCGATACAGTTATTCAGATTCAATACACCGAAATTCTTAAGGTCCGTTTGGTTTGCAAGATTGTTTTTGAGGGGTTTGGATTTCATGGAGAAATTTGGATTTGGAGGGATTTGGATTGGAATGGATTTGAAATCATTGGGGTGTTTGGTTTGTAGGATTTGGAATGGGATTGGATTCCATTATTTATAAATAATTTATAAAAAAGTATAAATAATTATATAAATAATTAAATTACACTTTTATAAATTGATTATTACAAAACAAATGTTTTTAACATTTTTTAAAACCTTATTTCGTACAATCCTACGAAATCCCGTGAAATCCCGAGCACCCCCTAAGGATTTCGAAATCCTATGTTTGTAGGATTTCAATTAAATCCTAGGATTTCAAATCCGGACAATACAACAAACCAAACATGGGATTGGAATGGATTTGAAATTCAAATCCCCCAAATCCATTTCATTCCTGTAAACCAAACGAGACCTTAGGATTTTACTAGAAAGTATGAATTATCAGTTGGAGGGAGAATGAGGAAAGATGAACTACTGTCTGGAAATCATAGATCTCTAAATTCTTCAGGTATCTTGAGGTCAGGTGACACTGTCTGGTTACCATCTCAGAACATCCAATATTATCCAACCCAACATCACATTTTTAAAAATTGATAAAAATGAAAATTATAAGTTATTCCTGCCCATTCTCTATCGCTAGGCAAAACTCGACTTTCAAAGAAGGGGAAACCTTTGATTTAAATATCTACCACTCTCACAACCTCATCGTGGATTGTAAGAAATTTTGTGGAAACATTATATTAATTCACCGTAAAGTAAGTATAAACCAAAATGAGAACAAGCCATGTCGTAATCCTTGTCCAACTAGGGAATATATCAATTCTATATTCCTAACGATAATATGTAAGTTGATTCTAGAGTTATCCAATCAACTTAACCATTACCCAACAGAAGAAAAGGAACAGAATAATATAAAATGAGAGTACAGGTTCTACTATTCTCGTCTAAAGTATTGGTTTAGGCACCCTATCAGCATCTTCTGAGTTGCATCAGTAATAAAGATAAAGATAGAAAGGAAGGTTCTACACATTGTCATATACTCCATCCATACCAAAATAAGTGTTCACATTCCTATTTTCACAAGTGTCTACCTTCCAATTCTACCACTTAATTATGAGATGAAGAAACTATTATTAAGGGGAAAATTGTCATTATAATTACACATCTCTACAACAATGTGCATTTTTCATTATTTATTTTGGGACGGAGGGAGTACATGATATCAACATTAATCGGAATAGGATTTTAGTAATAATATATAGATTACCTGGAACCAAGAGATAAACCACTGAGTTTGGCAAAACATGTATACCATGTCTGATGCAAGGAAAAACAACAAAATGAATATTGTACAAGCAAAGCTAGTAGGGGTTGACATCACATATATGAAATTAACCACCCTTGTACCTAATATTGTCAAGAATATTATTAAACCGTTCTGTCCCATCTTCAACGGGAGGCATCTCAGGAGCACGTTGTAGCCATCCAATGTCATCAGATGACCCATGCATTGTCCTTCGAACACGCTCAACAAGGCTGAAAGATAACATTGTGTAAGTTGAATAATAAGGTCACAATTAAGAGTGAAACACAAAAGATATATCTTAATAGCACAACAAGACAGTAAAAGTCCATAAACCATATGCTGAAAAGGAAGATATGCTGAAATGCTGATTAATAATTTACTTAAATGCAAACTATCGCCACTCCTTTTAACACATTTCTCCTTTTCTCCTCATTTGCTAGGTATTTTGTTAGTGGAGGGGGTCTGCAAGTTGACTTGACGGAAATTATCACTCCAACGAACCCATTAGACTGTCAGATAGAGGTGACAGATTGTAAGATAGATATATCATATCCAAAAAGAAATACATGCTCAAAATGGCAAAGAAATTCAGTGACATTGAATACTATCAAGATCTTGAAGATTTGTAAATGTCATGTATCTAGACCACTTGGCTGCAAGAGAGACGGAAGTAGGGTGGAGCTAGAACTCTAGCTTCCTCAAAAGAGGAGAAAAAAGTTGATCAAGTGCAAAAGGGTTAAATCTTCATGCTAATCAGCTTCAATGACCTTATGCCATCCTCATGTTTTACCAGTTGAGCAAGTAATGTGGGGATAGTCCTGCCTGGTCCAGTTACATAAAAAACCATGCTTCAGCATGGATGCCGATAAATCGGCTTTGGTCTTTATATGAAAGGATTTGTTCATCACACAGACAAAAACCATAAAACTATTAGGAAGAAATCCATTATATTTTGAATGTCCACAACTCAAATATGCTATTAATACCCAATATTCAATTATGTCACCTAATAGGTCCGCAAGAAGAAAAGGAAGGCATCTGGGTATGCTGGGTTCCATCAGATGGTAAGTAACATAAAATGGTCGTTTTTTGTTATACATGCCGAGCAGAAGGATAATGAAAAAAAATACAAAAGGATAACTCATCAAATACCTCCCCAATATTTGAAGAAACAGAGAAGAATGCACATGCTAACAAAATTTACGAAGTATCAATCATGCTTTGTAAAAATGAATTATGTTGTAAAACATGCTAAAATTTGAACATAGATCAATTAATGATCCAATAGAGAATGGGTTGCCATTACCCTTGAAACATGGAAATCCCACTTTGCCTGGTCTGATCAGATTGTACTATTGCCATATTATTTTGAGAATCCGAGTGCCTCGTGATTTCCTCACAAGTTGGTGATGCATTAGTTGCAGTTAGCAGTGATCCAGAAGCTGCAGAATCACTTCCAACATGTCCATTATTACTCAACAAAGGTTCTCTAAGTTCTTTGGAAGCCAATGCTGCCGTGTCCTGTCCATCAGAGCCTCTAGCTGCATCGTCTGTTCAAATAAGAGAAAAAAAAAATGCTATTACCAACTTGATGAGCATCAGATGATACCCAGAGAAATTGGTAGATGAAGAAAGCAGATATGACATATAAGTGATCATTATACAACCGGAATTAAAATCTTTACCCAACATTAGCAATTAAAGTGTTATGTTGTTAGCAATTTAGGTGTTAAATTTTTGGACAAGCTACAGCAAATCCCTTGTAAGAAAAGACATCTAATATCTTAAATGATATTCACTTAATTTTTCTGAACATTGGACTTTATAACAAAATATTTGGAAGCATCTTATGTTCAGCAGTATGCATGTCATTCAAAACCAACTAGTTCATGCAGTGAAAGAAATTATGTTTGGTGATACATACTAAATAACAGAATAGCATCTGTAAAAAGCAAAAGAAAAGTATGAAGTTAACGTCAATCTCCTCAAAAGAAACCTATCTCTCAGCATATAATTAAAAACAGCATAATTACAAGTGTGTGTGAGACAGAGAGGAGCAGACCAGGAATAGCAGGGAAACAACTAGTTAGATATGATGTTGTCTCAGCAAGATAAGATGCAGCTCCATTTAAAGCTGGTACCGATGGAAATAGTGGGGGAGTTATCTGCCTCTTCCTCACATCATTGTTGTTTGCCTAACAAACAAGCAGCTGTTAAAATATTTGCAAACAGTAAGAAGCATGGATTATCTTCTATACAGAAATGAAAATCTTAACACAAAGAAAGAATGTACACACCAAAAGTAAATCATCTAAATTAACATAAACAGCAAGCCTTTTATCACAAATTAATCAAGGAGTAGGCTAAAAGGGGAACCATCACAAACTGCAGGGAGATTAACATAGAACATATATACGTATCCTACCGAACCTTCCCGAAAGTATCATTTCACATAAAACTGACAATGACCGCAATATATCCTAAAGCTGTTAAGAAGAAAAAGGCCACATTGCAGGAGAACAGCATAACCATGTGCAATATTTATATGATTAACTCACATATCAGAATATTGATAATTTTATGAAGGAACCATTATAGATTTTACATCAGCATCTAAATACAATGAAATTTGTTACCAAATGAAGAATTGTAGAAAAGATCATTATATGAAACGCTTGTTTGGGTGTACATATGCGTGTGTTTCATGTGTAATTCTACTTGCAAAGCACCAGAAGAAATTTCTAAGATACTAGGTTCAAAATGTCAATCATGACTCCTTTTAAAGTTGAAATGAAATGGCAGTCAAGTTTGGCCTTGTATGTACATAGAGTCAACCAAGCATTCTTTCAGTATTGTAGTTCACCAAAGATGTATTCATGCAGCCCACATGCATGTTGAATCCCCAATGTAACATGTAATTTCTGTTACCACAGAACTCAATCCTCTCATTGTGGGCGGAGCTTAAATAGACAACTTATTACTATTGTGTTGATGTCCTTCCCTTCCACTTGCCTTAAGAGGACCTACTTTGACTAACGGCTTTAGATAGTTGTCTTCTGTTGCAAATGTCTCCCAATTCGCCGACCAAGCTGAACACAACTTCCACGTGATTTCCAAAGTATCTCAGTCATGTTCAATAAAGATATGTGTTGATAAAAATGGATTTAGAGGAAGCTTTGTTGGGATGATAGAATGCCAGCTGATTGGCCAGACAAGAAGAAAAGAAAGAATGATGATAAGGCACTATTGCAAATTAGATTCTACTTGTCTAATGATGTTTTATTGGAAACAACAGCAGTGGGGTTATGGGTGAAGTTGGAGCAGTTATGCATGACTAAGAGTTCGCCAAATAAGTTGTGTTTCAAGCAACAGTTATTCTCTTACCGGTTATCCAAACGTGGATCAATTTCTGAATACATCTCCAAGTTTGAGGAGATCGTAGCCAACTTAAAAGACATGGAAATCAAGTATGATGAAGAAGATTTGTGACTCATTTGGTTGTGTTCGCTACTGTCTTCATACATGGGTTTTAGATACTCTATAGCCATGATACCCTTACATTTGATGAGGTTATGGAGTTTTAAGGTCCAAAGAGAAGTTGAAAGAAATTGTGTCTGGTGGTGAAACTAAGGCCGAAAGGCCTTCATGCAAGAGGGAGTCCTTGTAAAAAGGGGTTCCAGGACCGCAAGGTACGTTCCAAGTCAAAAGAAAGAGAGTTTTGTAATTGTTGAAAGAAAAAGGGGGCATGTTATCAATGAACGCTACAACCTCCGGAGCAAGAACAATGCCCATGGGTCAGTGATACAAGATATTCGGTTCTTTCTTAACCACTCACAATTTCTAGAGGTGTACCTGTGACAAAATTCCTTTATTTCAAGAAATATGATGGTTTTATTTTGTACATACTCTTGTATGTGGACAACATGCTGATCGCAGCTGAAAGCAAAGTGGAGATTCAGAAGGTGAAGAACTAGTTTAAAGCAAAATTTGACATGAAAGAACTTGGGTGCTACCAATGATTATTTTGAGGATGAAACAGAAAGATAGAAATGCATGAAAGTTGTACCTTAGCCGAAAATGGTACTCTGAAAAAGGTATCGCAACACTTCAATATGCACAATGCTAAATCTGATTATACCCTTTGTAGTTCACTTCAGGCTATGATCCGCCTTGAGTCCTACTACTTATGAATATGTTGCATATATGGCTAAAGTTCCTTACTCTAGTGTCGTTGGATCCTTCATGTATGTCATGATATGCACACTCCCAAACTTGTCTTATGCAATAAGCATTGCCAGTAGATGGATGGCAAACCCGAAAGAAGAGCACTGGAAAGTCGTTCAGTGGAAATTTTCCTACAGTTTGGGAGATCTAAAAATGGTTTAGTTGGGTATTTTGATTCATAATAGGCCAAGGACCTTAACAAGAAAATGTCAATCACTGGGTATGTCTTTACAGTTGGTGATTGTGCCATAAGTTGGAAGGTTCGTTTACAGTTATAGTTGCTTCGTCTATGACTGAAAACAAAATACATGGTGTTACTGAAATATTCAAGGAGACAAAATGGTTGAAAGGGGTATTTGGAAACTTTGGTGTGATCAGCAAAGTGAACAGGACCTACTGTGGTAGTCAAAGTGCTATATTTATAACAAAAGATCAGATGCTTCACAAAAGAAAAAAACACAAATATTCGAAAGTCCTATCAGTGACCAGGTTTGAGCTTCGTTTGGATTTGTTCGGGACTTCATGATGCAACTAAGCCCTTATGGGCTTTTGGCGGAGGAGGTCAGATTTATTGTTTTACATGTGGGTAATTGTGGTTGGGTGGGTTAATTTTAGTCATGGAGGAGATTGTTGAGAACGTCACCCAATATACCCACCATTATGATGGCAACTTGCACGGACTTCCAATTAGATCAGTTTTAGTGGGGGAAAAGTTACAGTACAAGAGGAACTTGTTTAATTTAGGGTTTGACTAGGAATTTAATAATTCTTTATGAGGCAGGTCTAGGCCCACAAGGCACCTCAACCAAGGTACAACGCCTTAGTGAGCCTCGTGAATACGCCTATCCTCAATTTTAAAAAAAAGCCAAGGCCTTGAACCTTAGGAGCCTCAGAGCCTAGGCGCGCCTAAGGAGCGCTTTTAACAACTATGAGTCAAAAAAAATTTTGATGTGTACCGATGGGCCTTTTGCCTTCCAAGGTTAGAGTTCTGACCTCACCAAAGGTGAGGAGGGTGTGTGAATTTATTTGTTAAATTTGTCATATATAATTATTATATACTTTAAAAAAGCATTGTTTTATGTGACTAGTATTGGGGTAGGTCAAAAGATGATAGTTAATATCTAGTGGTACTGGAGGTCTGCGGCGAATCATTAGACTATCTAGAAAACTAGTCAAATGGTGGTCCTCCATGGATTCACCTATATAAGTTGTGACTAAAGTTGCAAAAATAGGAGCTATCCAATTCTGGTCAAATATTATGAGATTGGGAGGTTGTATGTGCTGAGAATTAGTGTCTCTATCGACCTGTACTTTAAAGTTGGTTTCTAGTAGTTTTTTCTCCATATCATACATTGCTTTTCTTAATTGGGTTTACATGTTAATTCATTCGTCTTTCCCATGGGCTACGGTACTTTTGTTGGTTAGCTTTCTGCTTTTGCAATTCTTATCGTAACATATCTCTAACTTAATGCCTGCAGATGTTCAAGAAAAACATTAATAAGAAGAAATCAGGGATATTTAGCATATCTATCATGGCACACTCCATTCCCAGACATGTACCCCCCCACCCTTTCTCTTCACAGGGAGAAAAAGTTCATTACCATTAATGGGATCCTTGATTCTTCCTTGTTGGTGTTCGTAGCATCCATAGTTGGCATCAGCTGCTAGTGAACGCACACACACATGGACAAACAACCACCAAAAATCAGACATTTGTTATTTAAATGTCGTTGTGAAAGAAATGTGAAATGGTGCAAGGAACATACAATTAATCTCAGATGTTCTCAGGGTATTGAAAGTAAAGGAGAAAGAAGAACATTCTACTCATGCAGGGTCGAGGATCATACCTGAGAAAGTAAACATGCCACGCAAAAGAAAAATCTATGGTAATCTATATCTATGGATAATCCACTTGGCTATTGACCACCTTGCTTGCTCAACTTGCTGGAACCGTGGAACGATAACCTAAATGTCCTCAATTCAAACACCACATTTATCTTTCGTCATACACATGATCCAACATCTTAACACGATAAAACTAGAACACAAATTAAAAAGTACCAAATAGAAATTCATTGTTTAATCCCAAATAAGAACCCTAAACCAAGAGACAATCGATTGCCTTACCTCCAACAAGCCGATTTCAAATAGGGCGGTGAATTCTGAGCGACTTCTAGAGATCAAATCGGTTTCGCACAATTTAAATGTAGGAAAATGATGGGGAGAACAATGAAAAATTATCTTCGACACTAACGGCCAGCCTAAGCGAACGCCAACGACCGTGACGTCGTCGTTTTGTTTGTTGACCGCCATAAATAACCATGTCGGCCAGGCCCAATAACTTAAATCATGGGCTTCCATTTGGAAACAGATTAAAGTTCATTTGAGGCTTTGGGCTTTAGCAATTGATAATTGGTTGGATTTTCATCAAGGGGTTGTTTACAAATTTTCTATTAAGTCTTGTATGGATAAATTCGTCTGTTTTAGATAAATTTGTGTGAACAAAGTTGTCTATATGGATTAATATATTTGTATAGATTGGGAAGGTTTTGTTTAGGAGGGTTTTTTCATAAATAAAAGAAGCGTATTTTTTAGTTAGAAGGGACAGACTGAAAAAAACTTGGCTTTTAAGTCACTTTTTATATAATTAAGCCACTATCAAATACTCGTAAGTCCCACTAACAAACATCCCCTTAGTTATTGATTGATAAATTAGTTGATAGATTAATCATATAAATACTACAGATGATAGGTTAGTAGATAAGAGTTAGGGGGCGTTTATTAAAACTCTTATCCGGGTAAGTGTTTACCAAGTCATATTACGTTACCGGATTAATATGGCAAGAACCAAGAATCTTACCGGGTAAGAGTGAAAACAAGGATCGAGAGTCTTACTAGGTAAGTGATGGTGATGACTCATACCATGGTTAATGCTTACCAGGTAAATTGTTGCATACGATATCGTTTTAGAGGACTAAAATCTTACGTGGTAAGTAAGTGATAGTGTTAAATTTTACCAGTAAGCACTTACCTAGGTAAGCGTTTGATGAACGGCCCCTTAGGTCTATATGATAATAATAACTCAAGAATATAATACGAAACAGTTGAATCACATGTGTTTTACATAATTAGACCCAAGTACTAAAAAAATCAATAAACTTGTTGTCCATATTCTGTTGTTGTTCATAATCTATAGTATTGGTTGTTTTGCTTTACATTTGTTGTTCTTAATCGAACCAAAAACCGATTCTAAAACCAAAAACTGAAAAACTGAATGGTTTTGGGTTTTGTAGGGTGTCGTAACGGCTCGTAACCCTCGTTCGAGTAACCAAATACACGATTAGTAAACTTTATGAACTTTTTAAGTATTTGGGACTTGTGTATGTCCGATGTATTTGCTTATTTAGGTGAATTGGAATAACAGAGCCTTTTTGGTGAAGCCAAACTCTTATTTGGCTATTGTGGTTAGGTTTGAAGAACCAAATCGTAGTGTTTGTATTAACTTACGCTAGAATGGTAGCTTAGCACCACAATGTTAACACCATAACGTTAACTTCAGATATATATATCTATAACCCTAATAAATAAGTAACTTTTGGGACACGTGGCCCTTCCCTGTGCGTCGGTTACTGGTTTTTCCCGCCTAAACATGTATGTGGACACAATTTTCACCTTCAGTACAAATAGATCTGTGCAAGTGACACGTGGTAAGTCCGACGGTTACTATACGTGCTCCCCTTTAAACCGCCAATGCAGAGTAATTGGCGGTCGATATTGCGAGATTCTGAATTTAAAGGCCAACAGACCATCATAGCATTTTCAATGAATTGGAGATGAGGTTTGCTGCTCAACAGGTGCTGGTTATCATTTGCACAAAATTTTAGCCGATTCATTGAAGGATCTTTGTTAGTCTAACATTATTTTACGATTTATCATGCAGTCTTCTGAATCGGAATCAGTACACCTTCATTCGTCAGATTTCAGTTATGAAGAGAAGTTTTAGGTATTCTAAATGCCACCTTCAATGTAGTTTGTAAATTTAAATGGAAGCAACTAATTCTTCAAATGCCAGCTGATCATTGTCTTAAATGAAGAGCACCGTAGACAGTCCGAAATCACAAGAGAAGTTGTATGAGAGAAGGCTTGCAAAAGGAATAGACATGAAGAAAAAGAATCGGCTACAAAAACATTAAAAATCCCTGAACTTCAGAAGTAATATTCGTGGTTCTGGTGTACAACTACATTGTCTCTCGTATTTGGTATTGTTTTTGTGATTGGATTTTGGTTTGTACAACAATCTGTTAATTGGTCAATGTATTATGCTATACGCTTTCATTATTATTTGTTTTGGATTTAATATTAAACTTATTTGCATGAGTACATAATGTTGTTGTAGTTGATCTTCATATTTAAGAACATTGTACTACGTTGAGCCTCTCCTTGTCCTTCCTTGCCTCATACAGAGCTTTACGGAGGCACCGTACACAGTCGGGATCGGCTAGAAAAACATTGTACATTATCTCTGAACTTTAGAAATAATATTCGTGGTTCTGATGTACAAATACATTGTCACTCGTATTTGGTATTGTTTTTGTTATTGGATTTTGGTTTGGACAATGATCTGTTAATTGGTCAATGTATTATGCTATACCCTTTCATTATTATTTGTTTTGGAATTAGTATTAAACTCATTTTCATGAGTACATAATTTTGTTGTAGTTGATCTTCATATTTAAGAACATGGCACTACATTGAGCCTCTCGTCCCTTATTGCCTCATACAGAGCGGAATCACAAGAGAAGTTGTATGAGAGAAGGCTTGGAAAAAGAATAGACATGCAGAAAAAGGATTGGGTACAAAAACGTTAAAAATCACAAGAGAGTTCAGGCTCTGCATGTACTAACGTTGACTCCATGCTTCATACAGAGCTACACAGAGGCTCTGCACTTAAGTGTTGAGAAAGAACTCTCTCTCTCTCTCTCTCTCTCTCTCTCTTCATGTCCTACGTTGAGGCTCCGCTTCTTGATACAGACCTTAACAGAGGTTCTACACGTGCTACGACGTCACTCTAACCCTGCCTCTGTGCTTCATACAGAGCTACACAGAGGAATTGTACTTGAGTCTTTAGTAAGAGTTCCTGTCCCTGCATATATTAAGCAGAACTAGACTCCGTGCTTCTCAGCTTCAGAAAATAAGCTTAGTAAATTTTTATTAATGTTCTGTTTAAAATATAATATTTTAAAAGGAAGGCGTACAGTTTTTATTTGTTAAATATTTTAAATAGCTGTCATTTAACTAAGCGTCACCATCTGTTATTTTAATTTTCCAAATTCGGGAGGCGCCATTTGCTGCTGGCAGGCTACTTAGCAACTCCCCACAGGTGGTACGAAAACCGCTTCAGTTATCTGACGTTTGGGATGCGCATTACACTCGAGTACTCTATTTTATTTTCTATTTAAACAAACCCATTTCCCCCAATTTTTCTTTTACGCTTTCAAAGTATTCAAGAACTCGTCGTCTTCAAGCTCTCAAAAACCGCCATTGATATTCCTGCAAGCTCTCAATTCAGTTCCTGCAACCGCAATCTTTGGTGCAATCATTCATATTCGATCTTCAAGTAAGTAACCGAACCATCTCTCCAGCCCAAATTAAAGAATCAAGATCCGATTCTTCTCAAAACCCTAACTGTTCAAAACCTTTTTTTTTTCAAAACCTGCAATAATGTCTTCTTTAGACTCAGGGAACTCTCAAACCCACACCACTACTCTCAAAACTGTTGAGGAATCTAGCGAAAATATGGTTCCTTTTCCACTCAAACCCAACAACCATGCCCTTCGACTCTCACTAGACAACTTTGACCCAAAATTCCATCCTATTATCGATTTTTTTCCAACACCATTTCTTGAACCTTGCCCTGGCGAACACTGATGATCTTGTCCCTGAAAGATTCATCCAAGAATTATGGCAGACTTGCTCAGTTACTGACTCCCAACGAGGTATTGTTGGAGATTTTTATGTGTCATCTACAAAGGAATTCATCAATGTCCGCATTTCAAGGTCCCTATTCTCACGAGTTTTGCAAATCCCTACAAAGACGGATTTCGGGCTGAATGAATATGCCCCTCTCCCATCTGGGGATGAGATTGTTTTGTTCTTGAAGTTCTTGGGATACAACAAATCCATCCAATATCCTTCTCAATACCGCATACAGTACCTACCCCCAATGTGGAACACCATGTTAACATTGTTGAATCGATCGTTGACTGGGAAGATTGGCAGCTTGGACATGTGCTCCACCAACATCCTACAGATCATGTACGACATCTTTTTTGACTTATCACTCGACTACTCCTTGATCCTCTACACAGAGTTCAAGGCAGTTGTCCTCAAAAAGTGCCAAGAGGTGGCTAAAGGGAAGGAACTACCATCACTCTTGTTTCCTCGCTTTTTGGGTCTTCTTCTAAGACCTGTTATCGATGACAACAACATTGACGTGAGACGTTTTCCTGTGCACAAGGTGAATGTGCTCACTCACAACAAACCTACGATCAACAAAGAAGGCTATGCTACACCCAATTTCGATGAAGCTTTTGTCGTACATGAAGACGAGGGAGGTGAGAAGAGCATACAGACGTGTACATGAGGCACAAGAACCTATGCCTCGAACCCTGGCATGCATAGGTACTAACCATGAGGATAAGGGAACAGAGGACACTCAAAGGCCTCAGGCAGAAGAGGAGGAGGTGAGATTGGAAAAAGAAAGAGAGAAGATGCAAAGAAAAAGATAATAGAGAGAGAGAGAAAATAAGGAAGGAAGAGGAGAATAGAGCTGAACATGCCAGACTTGAAGAAATTGCTCGTTAGAAAGCAAATGAGGACATAGTTGAGAGAGCAAGACAAGCAGAGATTGCTCATCTCAAGGAAGAAGAAAGAATCAGAGCCGAGGAAGAAGCCAATCAAGGCTTAGAGCACTTCTCTAGCTCTGACAAAGAAGAAAACCAGGAACATTTTGATGATGTTGTTGGGTCCAATACATCAACTGAAGAGAATAAGGAGGAAGAAGAAGATGATGAGGAGGGAGGAGGTGCAGAAGCTGCTCTGCCTCAGAGAGAGCCAGAGCAGCCTAGGATGGCGAATACGTACATATACTTCCCAAGCCCAACTCCAAGTGCTACCACACAATCTGTCTCTATTGGTCGAGACACGGAGATCATTGTGCCAAACCAACTAGAGGTCGCATCTGCCTCTGGTTATATAAGCCAAAAGAAAACCACGTTTCAGGGATC